GTGTGTGTGTGTGTGTGTGTGTGTGTGTGTGTGTGTACGTACCTGAACTGGAGCAGGGATGGAGTATTGCAGTGTATCGTGCTGCTCAGATTGTCCACGGTGTAATAAAGCGGCACATCCTCCAACTCCTGAAACACAGAGCACGTCACAGGCAATGAAGCTTCAGTCTGACAGGAAACTACGACTGAAACGTGATCACAGTCTATCTCACACAACAAAAAGCCGGCTAACGCCACCAACCACACCCACGGGACAATCCCATTAAATAGCACCTGTTCCAGCAGTGAGAGCATATATAAGAAAGGGAATGAGTACCTCAGTCACCATGCTCAGCACGCCCTCAATGCGTTTAGATGTCCCAAACCTGCAAGGGTTCCCCGACACGGCAGACAAAACCTTCTGGACGAACTCCAGGTCGTGGATGGACTCTGCCCAGATCGGACCGCCCAGCTGCAAAGAGGAGAGGTAGAGGCTTCAAATGGAGTTTTATGCATGCCCACACAGTAACAACCAGAAACAAGCAGGCCAGTTTATGGACATATAAACCATTTAAGTCAGTGATTCCCAAAGTATGTGCTGGGGACCCCTGGTGAGTTGCAAGGGTACTGCAGGCAGTCAGCTTGAACTTACATCTATGTACAGTAATACATTTATATTAATTTATTTATTTCAATAAAAAAGTGAATTAAAGCTGGTAATAGCAGGTGGTTAGTTTGTGATATTACTCATTACTCCAACCTAAATTCACTGCTATTATATTGAAGTTGATGCCCTGTTTGGCAGGTGTGTTGCTTTAACACGGTGCATGTGACTGGGTAGCATTAGCAATTAATAGCCAACAGCCAGAGTCGTTTATGTTTCTTGAATGAAAATTTCAATGAATCCATCTTTCTCTCTTGTATTTTGATTAGAGTGAAAACTTTGGGAGGTCCCTGTGGGATTTTTCTGGTTTTAAGTGGGCCACTGCACCCTTGACTTTAAAGTCATTTTAAAAAAACTTTAATGGAGAAAAAAAAGTCAGCTACCTTTACATTTGTTCCCAAATACAATAGAATCACATTTCAGTCAGAACCTCTACAGTCAGACTGTTTTGTTCCATCAGCAGTCATTTATGTGGCCACTTGGCGCTGCCCTGGGACCGGTCATATGGAAAGCCAGGTGAGAGAACAGAGCAGCCATACAGGGAGTGCAGAATTATTAGGCAAATGAGTATTTTGTCCACATCATCCTCTTCATGCATGTTGTCTTACTCCAAGCTGTATAGGCTCGAAAG